AATACACTTCTCCAGCACCACAGCTCAAAGGCATCAATTCTCCTATCCTCTTTGGTCATTGTCCAACTCTCTGATGCATAACAAGTGATTGCGAAGACCCTGGCCTGTATCAAACGCACCTTAGTCTCCAGAGAGACACCATTGCTCTTCAGTACTTTGGAGAGGTCCCTAATAGTAGAGAAGAAGGAATCATGGAGATATTAAAAAAGAAGGCAACATACACGTTCTCTGTATGTTATGTTATGTTATGTTATGTTATGTTATGTTATGTTATGTTTAATTTCAAAGATCAAGGCTAAGTCTAGCTTTAGGAATGTCCCAAATTCTTTCTCATTTCTGATTTTGCATTGAATATGTTTCATAAATCCATTTCCTAAATACTTAGTGAAGGTTTTATGCAATCTGTCTTCAAACATTACGTTTTTAAATACCAACAAGGGGAGGAGTGGAAATGCAATTGTCCCTCCTACCTATGGAAATCAGTTAACAGTTTATATGACCGTAATGCAGCTCATCTATGATTATAGGTCCCAACAAAATATTTTTTAATAAAAACGTATTACTAGATAAGAAAATCAGACTGCTGAGGAAAGCAATTATATTTTAATCACTAGGGTACTGACAAAGGATTGGTCCACTCCTAAATATTCTAGCAGAACTGAATCCCACAAAATGTCTGTTAGTCATTATTTCAGAAACTAATCAGGCATAGTTCTTTTGAGTTAAGGAAGCGTGGACAGCAGACAGCGCACATTTTTATCTGTAACTGCCAACACTTAAAGCACATGCAGAGCACATGTTTCTTTGAAAGATACCTTTCAGATACATTCTGGTAGGGTTAGGTTTACAGGGGCATCCTGTTGCCTTCAATGCTGAACTTGACAGCATGGTACATTTTGCTGACTCGTTTCTGTTCTGCAAATCGCCTCTTATGCTTTTCCAACCTGTTTAAACCCTTCTTAAAAGTACTAGACTAGAAACAGTAAATTGATAAAATACAGATTACTGAGAAATACTGAAAGTAACTGAGTAATATTTACAGTGATTTAAAAAGGTACATGTCTAATGTAACAATGTTGTTGTTATATACCTTCAAGTTGGAACCAACTCAGCTGATCTTTCAGAGGAAGTAAATCATATGGGAGAAGATTTCCCATCCTTCTCCCACAACGCAGCAAGTAAAGTCAAAAGCAGGTGCCTTTGGATTGGCAGCACAACTTCTTACTACTAAGCCACCAGAGCTCCTTAAATATTTTACAACAAAATTATTTAAAATACTTCAAAGAGAAAAGGGAGATGTGAGGTAAACTTTGTCACGGTTCTAAAAACATGACTGTATCCAAATATTCTGAGCTTCAAGATTAAAACAACCATTAAAAAAGAAACTTCTCGATTTGACAATTTTCTTGAAGTCGAATAAATTTCAACACAGTGAACCTTAATTTTTTCTCTGGCTAGATAGAGACTTGAAAACAGACCTCTTTAAATTACATAAACCTTAAATACTGCTATAAACATCAAGTAAAAAAATAAAACAGCAATTTACATCTGAGATCAGTTTTGCTGCTCCCTTGGCTCACTTACCCTGGATGACTCCATTTCCACATTCCACTTGGGCCTAACAACATAGTCCTTGTTTGAAGGCATAGGAACCCTTGCTCGAGCACAAAATCCAGGATCTCCAGGTCTAAGCGCTCTAAGAAAAGAAAAGGAAAACCAAATTTCTTAACAACTGAAATTGCAGGCTACTACTGTTACTTACCTAGCTCAGTTCGTAAATTCTCAGTTTTAAATTTCTTCCCTTCTCCTTTAGGCTACATTATCTTAACACATGAGCACAAACACACACATATACAAACACACAGATATAAATTCCTCAATTTCCTCCCCCTACATCTATATAGAGCCCTTTCACCTTGCCTCAACTTCAGGGGCAAAGATAATGATCTCCTTTTCAAGGCTAGTCTCACTACTCATTCACTCACTAAAGGATAAACTAAACCCAAAGCTGATCCTCCACTGGTTTTCTAAGGGTGTTAATCGAATGGGAGGAGACTGCCCATCCTTATCCCTGAGTTGCTGGTGGAGTCATACCACCAGCTGAGCCTCTGGGTTAACAGAACAACTCCCTGTGGAGCTCAGAGGTCCCTTTAGTAGCATCAGGCCTCTCTCTATAAGACCCAATTTTATCAATCTAGTGAAAAATCAAAAAAGCCAATGAGTCTCCAAAACTCTATTTAGGTACTAAAGGAGATTACCTGGCTACACATGTGTAACTCATAATGTAACATTTTGTGTTACAAAAATTAAGCAACTGCAAAAACTAAAAACTATTTTGAGATAATTATAAGTTTACATGTGATTCTAAGAAAAAATCAGACACTGGAGACCTCTGAACCAGTTTCTCCCAGCAGTAACAGCATGCATAAGTATAGTATAATTAAGATACCAATGATAATACAATCCATCAGTTATATTTCAATATCTCCAATGTGTGTGTGTGTATATATATATTTTCCATGTCAATGCAATTTTATCATATGTTCTATCACCATTAGATTTTTCTCACTATCCTGTAACTCAAAGGTAACAGGCTTTCCAGCGGGAGCAAGCCCTTGAAAGCTCTGACAGGCGTAGTCTTGGACGGAAGTGAGGATTGAGGACAGGTGTTTCTCACAGGCATCTCTCAAAGGTAACAGGCTTTCCAGCGGGCCCGAGGGCCTTAATTGACACAGAAGTTCT